CGGATTGGTTTTCGCTTCGGATTGCCCACCCCACGATCGAACGAGGTTTCGGAGTTAAAATCACTTCGGAATCAGTGCTTACACGAGAAGGAATGCGAAGCGAAGTACTTCGGATTGGTTTTCGCTTCGGATTGCCCACCCCAAGATCGAACGAGGTTTCGGAGTGAAAATCACTTCGGAATCAGTGCTTTCACGAGAAGGAATGCGAAGCGAAGTACTTCGGATTGGTTTTCGCTTCGGATTGCCCACCCCACGATCGAACGAGGTTTCGGAGTGAAAATCACTTCGGAATCAGTGCTTACACGAGAAGGAATGCGAAGCGAAGTACTTCGGATTGATTTTCACTTCACCTCCAGAGCGGAGTGACTTTCACTATGGTTACGCTCACCGAAGTACTTCGGATTGCCTCAGCGTCGTGTAACTGAAACCCTAAAGTAGCTATCAAATATCATCAAAAATCGTTCTTTTGAAGCATTGCTCTAAATTCTTTTTTATCTCCAGCATACAAGATGTCAATGTAGAAGTTAAGTAAGTGAGTAAGGTGATTTGGTTAGGATCATTTCTAGTTTCTATCACTATACCCGACAAACGCGTCTTATTTAGTCCAAGGTTTTCTATAGTTTTCCAGTTTCCTAGAAGAACGGCTTTGAAGCGATGCCAAAGTGTTCTACAGTTTTCCGGTTTCCTACAAAAGCGGTCTTGGAGCGATGCAGAACGGCCGAGGACAAGCCAATGCATGTATAGGTGTGGGAAGCATTTTCATGATGGGAAAGGCACGTGTAGGCAAAAAGGGACACCTTCGTGAGCTGCAAATAGACAATCTATCGTGTGCCCTACACTCCCTTCCCCCACCTTCTCCGCCGCCCCTTGAATGCGGCAGGAATTGATTTTGTTATCCAAAAACATGATACATCAAATTTTCAATAAGACATTTTTACATAATTGCTTGTTATCATTTCCAGGGATTACCTGCGACTTCTCGAAAGTTGGCCTTTGGAAAACATGTGGTTATTCAAACTTCACCCAAGAACAATGTGCAAAGCAAAACTGTTGCTTCGGAAGCAACTCGTTTGTACTCAGCAAAAATCTTTCTCAGAATTGCGTGAAACCTCCAGACGCGTAAGCGAATTTCCTTCAATGCTTCTTTTTTTGAACTGGCTTGACAGGCACCGCAGAGAAGGGGGGTTGGGGGGCTATCCCACTTTTTACCAAAAATTCAAAAAATTTACCAGTCAAAGAACCTCTTATTCGGTTTTAGTCCCCCCCACTCTTCTCAACGCTCCGCGGTGCCTGCTGGATACTTTATTTTGTGCTTTATACTACATTTTTTAAGGTGGTACTTATCAGACTGATCTAGAACTGGGGACGCTTTGAGCTATTTTCCCTAGAAAGGAGAGTCGTTTGAAGTTGGCAACATCTATGCAAAATAATGGCATGTAATCGACTCTTGAGTTCTTTGCGATGACACCCCTAACCAAAAGGCTGTCAAAAACCACACCTACACCCCCACCCCACCCCCACCCAGCCCCAGCCCCAGCCACTTTGAAGAAAAGACAAAAAATTCCTAAACAAAACATCTACAGAGACTTTTATGTGTTCACAGATTCGATCTTGTTGCAATCTTAACTTGTTCGAATAACCTCTTAAGCACAAATCATACCTTCCGTCGCTGAAAAGATATGAAATATCTGTGTGGTCTTACAATGTTAGAAACCCCACCGTGCGTAAACCATTCAAATGATAAATTTGAACCATCAAACACAGTTTCCTATTTCCTTGTTGTAGTTGCCTTCTCGAAATCACAATCTTTCACAATCAATTTTTAAAAATAGAATTTTTGGATCCTTTGCTTGCTATTCTAGGTTTGAATGGAAAAATGGAACCTGTCACAAATACAACGGCACAGTCTGTTTGAAATACCTGGGGAACCGCACACTTGGAAGGGAGGTATTCTTTGACATTCGCTATGGCGTAGCAAGCACTGAAGCGATTTTGAGACAATTCATTCGAATTTCCGATCTCTCTGTTAAAGGATCTCAGCTCTGCAGGTGACTATTTTCAGTTGAATAAAAATGTCTGGATAGAAGAAGTTGTTATTTTGTACCCATTTCACCCTGCTGCCAGTGATATCCCTCCTATTTTCATACCAACTCTCTAACTCTGTTTGGATTGAGATAAATATCGCTTTATGTATATCTATGTATGTTTATTTTCATGTATGTATGTATTTAACCAGCGTTTATTTGTATTTCTATATCTCTGTACATTAAAGATTGATTCAACAACGTCATGTATCTTGAACTTGAGATTGACTTGACTGACACTCAAATCAAAGTCTCATTCATGTGTCTTTCAGTATTTGTTTTTGTTAGAACATACAAACTCTTTGTCAGTGTTTCAGCGTAGCCTGTTAGGACCGGATTTTGATTAGGAATATTCCTAAAATAGGCCCAGATGAAAACATAGGGGGAACTTCCCTTAAAGTGAACAGACCCATTAACGCTCTCTTTATGTGCTGCCTCATCAGACCTTTCTTGGGCCTATTCTGACACTGTACCCTTATTTCTGAACTCTAAACTACTGGCAAATAGTTATTTTTCTGTTTTCTTCTCAGACATTTGATACCGACTGGTGTATGTCAAATGATGTTGCCTTTATGCAATGCGGAAAGTCGCCCGGAACTTTCTTGCCGAGAAGACTGTGACCAGATTCATCAGTTCTGTCCCAAAGATATCGATCGTTTCTATGGTGCTTTGGAACTTTTCGTCAAAACCCAGGATATCAATTTCTCACATTTGAATATCCCAACATGCACTGATTTCAGATACTCCTACGAGTATGATTATAAGAAGAATGAATCTTGCACATTTGTTGGAGGCAGTCTACGTAAGTATGCCCACTATTCGCACATAATGACGTTTGCACATAACGAAGAATGCCCAGGCCATGTTCAGCTGGGTTTGATATTCCATGCACTTTAGACGTTTGTAGTATATTGTATAGAGCTTTGATCATAGGCGTAGACTTACATTTTTTTCAGGGGGGGGGGGGACTCAAAAAATTGATGACAATTCCTAATGGCAGCTGCTGATGTCACAGGATAGAAAGTGGATTAGCTAAGGGCTTAAAGGTGATTTTCTGTGCATTTTTCATTATCGAGGAAGAAGAAACACACACATGAAATGACTGAAAGTTTATTTTTAAATCATAATCAGTTTCTTAAAGGTTGAGATCATCAGTTCTATTTAGGCACCCAAAATGTTTATGCGTGGAACCAATAATATAACAAACTAATCTAAAAATTGCTAAAGCACTTCCTTATTCTCCAGGGGGGCTCAGCCCCCCCCCTCGGTTTTCGTCAGGAGGGGCTGACCAACAAAGATGTGATTGAACCTGCATATACCATGATTATTGCTTGAAAAAAGCACTTTCCTGTACCAAAATGGCTCACTGTAAAGGGCTTTATACTATCAAAGAAATGTCTTATAACCTTCGTGTTTTGGATTTAATGGACCTTACAAAGTTACTTTCGCATTGAAGACTACTTCCACAAATCTATTGTTGGTCCACCGCTTAATCTCCGAAAAATGTTTTTATTAGCTTTTAAGGCTCCATTTGTTATCCATAGCCTTTTAATCTCGCTGTACATAAGGAACTAAGGAAAAGCTTTATACCTAAGCAAACTTCAACTTCCACGGATTTGGATGTTTCTACTGTTTCTCTTTTCAATTGTATCGTAAACGCTGCCGAATTTTTACGCTGCCAAACATTTGCTGTTGTGGTAGCTCTTCTGGTTTGTAATAGAGTTGATAACCATTGAGCTGCAATGTAGTACCTGTGGCATTCCTCATAATACCTTTTACGTGATTTTATTTTCTCTCGATTGATGAAAAATATATGGCGTTTTTATTGAAAACGGGACAAGGAACTCATGATCAGGAGCCAAAAACAGAACAAGAGTAAAAATGCCTTGAATTTAAGTGCGTGGGATACCCAGACTAGCGGTCCTTGTGAGCAGTGCTCAAAGGGTGATTTAATAAATATTGCCTGGAGCAAAGTTAGCAAAGCTTGATGTGGAATAAAACACCCGCCAATAAAATGCTTCCATGTCCGGTTTCTTATTTATCCATTCATGAATAATGTAAATTCGGTTTGATTGGCATCTTGAAAGGGTGAATGGAACATGACCTCGCCAAGCACACTTTCTCTTATTTCACGTTTTAGAGTGAAGATTAACATGGGATAGAACTGAATCGAGTGAACTTTGACAAAGATTACAGCACTCGCAATTCGCTCACTTTTTTATAATATTTATTACAGCACTTGCAATACAGCATCAATGCGAAAGCCTTTATCCGCGTTGAGTGTCTCAGAGAATACGAGTTATGAACAACAAGGAACGTACCTGAGAACTCTCTTTTTATAATGTAAAAGGAGGGGCCACTTTTCTTGCTCAAGTTTGTTAACAAGGTTGTGGAATTAATTATAATTGTGGCATAAGCGTTTGCCAACTTGGCTAGAGCAAATACATTTTCTCCACTGCTCGAATAAAATGTTATTAGATTTGTTTTGGGAGAAGCCTTCGCGGTGTTCCTTCTATGTTTTAAAACCGTTCTGAAATTTTTTGTATTTGTAATTTTCTGATATTTTTATGTATTTTTGTTTCGTTTTTGTATTGACCTTTGAACCATAAGTCAGTGCCTTGCTGTTCATATGTCAATTAGTGTTTATTATAAGATCAGTTCACGAGTAGACAAGCTGCAGTTCAGTCGTGTTAACTTTCTTTCGTAAAATATTGTAACAAAGTTCCTTCGAAAATGAGCCATTGGTTTTCGTCGTCCAGACGCGGGTAAAATCGTTGCATCCAGGATGGCTGGTGCTGAACTCATTCAAAATCATGATGAAAAATGTATTACTGTGTCGCAAAAAATTGACGCTAGTTTTCAAAAGTGGTTAGCTAATAGGCGTTTAGGCTGGTGGAGTCACTCCAAATATTGATTTACTCGAAATATTGACGAAGAAGGAGCCAAAATATAACAAAGTATTTGAACATCAAAACGGCATAAAATAGAGCAAAACTTACAAATTTGCTGAAAACAGAACCCATAAGAAGAACAAACGAACTTTGTGGTCCAAGCATAAATAACAGAACAATGCTAGAGATAGCTATAATTTCTGTCCTTTTAGTTTTAACTTTAATTTTCTATTCTCTCTCTTGCTCCAATCTTTCACTGTCATTTCTAAATCGATTGCATCAGTCAAGTCCTTCTCCGTTGCAAGGACAATCAGGTCTTCGAGTCTCTCACCAGTCATTGTTGATCGAAGGCAATTCTAGATAATTTTCGTTTCACTGAAGGTTCTTTTGTCCTTTGCAACACTGACTGGGGCAGTTATAGCAGCTTTGAAGCCTTGTAAATGGATGGAAAGATCGATCTGTTCCTAATGGCAAATTTGGACGTGTCTTCAGGCTTAACGAGTATCAAGCTACTGATTTAAACATGAATATTCGAGGCTTTTTATGCTTTCTATCTCATTTCTCTTTCAGCATGTTCCAATACATTGTCATCTACCTCTGGAGTTATACGTCACTCGATGTCACAAGGAAAGTACTTGCCAAATCACAATTGTACTTGGAAAATAAATGTGCAGACCTCTTTCCACGTAAAGCTGACTTTCACGAAGTTTGATATTGAAGCCAGCAAAGACTGCATGAAAGATTACGTCATCATAAGAAACGGACCTTATTTGAAATCGTCTCAAGTTAGCCGTCTATGTGGCAAAGATCTTCCACCAGTTATTACGATAAGTAACAATGAGGTGTTAATCCAATTTGTTACTGATGCAAACAAACAGGCCTCTGGATTCATTTTGAATTATGCACAATTCACACCAGGTAAGTCACATCCTTCTATTTGGTGACATTTAACCATCACGTTGAGTTAACTACAACTTAAGTTAACTTAGCTATGTCTCTTTGTTCTCTAAAAGGTCTACAGCTATGATCACTTTGATAGCTTCCATAATCTTGACTTCTCTTGACTTCTATCCCCCCCCCCCCCTGTGCTCTCCATTTGATACGAGCAATCATACATTGCCTGGCCAGTTTGAATCACGCGATTATCTGACGGATGATCTGACATTTGATCTGACTTTTGGTGTGCCATTTCAGATGATTTGTGCCAACTGTGCAATGACCTTACATTTCACTTTACGTTACACCTAGCATTTGAGCCCGTGCAGGCATCGACTCTCCATTTGATACGAGCAATCATACATTGCCTGGCCAGTTTGAATCACGCGATTATCTGACGGATGATCTGACATTTGATCTGACTTTTGGTGTGCCATTTCAGATGATTTGTGCCAACTGTGCAATGACCTTACATTTCACTTTACTTTACACCTAGCATTTGAGCCCGTGCAGGCATCGACTCTCCATTTGATACGAGCAATCATACATTGCCTGGCCAGTTTGAATCACGCGATTATCTGACGGATGATCTGACATTTGATCCGACTTTTGGTGTGCATTTAAAATGATTTGTGCCAACTGTGCAACGACCTGACATTTCACTTTACTTTACACCTAGCATTTGAGCCCGTGCAGGCATCGACTCATTTGCGCGTGTTTTTTATTGTTGGCCCCAAACAGCTGAAAGTAAACAAAGAACGAAGAACTGGAGAACGATGAACTGTTGGGCCAAATGTTTGACCTTGACCAAACATCACCCAAAATTGTATCTGCAATGATGGTAGATGAACTGTTTACACTAAACATTGACAGCTGCTCTTGATTAAAAGCAAAGTGGTAGATGCCCAGACAAGTTTTGATACCGAATGCTATACTGTCAAAACATTTTTCTCTGTATCCACAAGAATGTGTTCCCAAATCTTCGCACCTCTTTAAATGAACAGCCATCAAGAAAACTGATGAATTCTATGTGTTCTAATTTTTCCTGGTGATACAAATCTTTCACACTGCAGTATATGCCATTTCACTTTTAAAGCTCTCATTGAATATCTCAATCGTGCCTTCGTCATTGCTGAAAAAAACTTGTCTTTTTGGGCCATTTCAGAAAAGTTGCTTTTGCAAATACTGTGGAATTCCCTGCTAAGATGCCAATATGAAGATTTACCTAGGCAAATGTTACTTATGCAAACCAATAGATTTTACAGTATAATTCAGTTATAACGTACTTTAAGGGACCAGTGTATTAAGAACGTTATATCCGAAGTACGTTGTAACGAGGGTAAGTAAAAAATTGATTAAAACCAAGCACACCTTTGGCGGGACCAAGCACACCAGTACGTTATATCCGAAAGTACGTAATAACCGAGTACGTTATAACGGGATGTAACTTCTTTCCCTAGATTTCAATGTTTATTCGTGTCATTGATTTTTGATTTTGATTTTGCCTAATACTGTATGTTCGATATAATTAATCAGCATTCTTTGTTTCTAGCAAACTTTGCTTAAGCCAGCTATGCAATTGTTTTTCTTTGAATCATTTTACTTTAATTCTCAGGTCTATCGTTAATAATGATACGTATTTTTATTTCAAAGACACCAAATCAGATTCTGTGTCCATTTCAAAGCAAAACATTATAATCATTGCTGCCTGTGCTGCCGCTGCTTTTCTGGCGCTGCTTTTATTTATATTCTTGAGATGGAGGTGGAATAAAAGGCAAGACTACAAACGACAGGAATTAGAAAAGGATATGGAATTGTTCACAGGTTTCACAACAGTCAGAGATCGCATACGTCAAGATTCAATGCCGAATCCGTTGATGGAAGCTCTGTCACGTATAAACCCAGAACACAAGCCTCCACAGTGTCGTTTAGACAGAGTAGAATATGTGAAAGATCTTGGCCAAGGACAGTTTGGGAAAGTTTTCCAAGGTTTGGAAGAATTATAAAGTCTTCTATAAAGCCCAACGCAAACGTCATTGTAGTTATCAATTTTTTTTTGTATTCAATTCTTTTGCAAATCGTCCACCCCAAATTTTCATCTGTCACGTTTCAAGTTATGACTATGATTTATCCACAATAGTTAACTACCCATCATAAAGTTTCCAGGAAATTTCAATCCGTAATCCTATTGATAGTCATACGTTATACGTATTCTAGAACTATATATCCAGGTCAACATTGTCTGATGAGCTAAGGCGACGCTGATTAGTTTCATGTATATCTCGGTTCGTTGAAATGACGTCATCCTGGTGATTCTCCTCTAGTCAGAATTTGGACCAGTGGTCACGGAATCGCCAATGAAACTCCACCTCAAGTTATGAAAATCTTGCAGAAGATATTCAAACTGACATTTTAAAGGATTTTTTCCTCATAAATCTATATCAGACATCGATTTTCATTCTATGCTTTCAATGACAATAATGTACCTAAATTTATAAAATAAACAGTTTATGCGTGGTGTTTAGTAAATGAATTGGTGTGACTGAAGGCAACACGAAAATGGGTTATAAAATGTCCAATGTCCACTCAAACACGTGTGTAGTTATATATTCATTGATATGTTTAGTACAGCAAATATCAATGAATATATAACTTTGGTACAGCAAAGAACATACACATTGGTACAGCAAAAAACTTCAGTTCTTCAGTACTTTCAAGTCATTTCTGTTAGTCTCTTAGTGACAGCTTCCTTGGATTCCTTGCATTGTCTATCATTAACATGCAAGTGGCAAATTACTGAAGTTTACTGTCTGTTGGTTATATAGTGCTGCAAATTAATGTTTCCTTCCTTTTCTTACGCTGCCTCTTCATTTTACGTTGATGCATCTTTGAAACAAAACTCCTATAAAAGTTGGGTGGGTCACCTCAATCTAGTTTCAAATGTCCCTTCATACTGACGTGTCACCGTTACTTACAGGGCGTTTCAAATTGGGCCAAGACGCAGAAGAGATCAGCGTGGCTGTTAAAATGCTGAAGGAAGGATCGTCAGCCGAGACAAAGGACTCCTTCATCCAGGAAGTAACACTGATGACCGTTCTTTATCACCAAAATATCCTTAAGCTGCTTGCCGTGTCTACAGAGGAAGAACCATTTTGCATGGTTTTTGAATATATGGTTAATGGCGACCTCAATACGTATTTGAGAAAAAATGATCCGGAAAACACAGAAGAGACTGAGAAAGGTAAGCTTGATATCATGCACTGTTTATTTCTGCTATCCTTTTTAATTAGAGTAACCCACAATAATCCATGAATCGATATAAAAGGCTTTTTAACTTTACAACTTTGCGTGGCTGGAGAGAATTTTTTTCGATCTGGAGACCTGTTTAATGGGTGTGGGGGAGGGAGGTTTTTTGCTAGATTCCTGTTCGGCAAATATTTGACACAATGTGCTACACACGAATTCTCATTCTGGTTTGAATTGCAACTGCAAGTAATTGATAATTTTACCCCTTGCTATATTAACCCAAGATGGAGTAGATTTTTTCATAATCTGTGGATTTAACTATTTGAATTGGTTTTTTTGGGAACCAGGCTTTGCAAATATGTTTATGTATACTTGATTTTTATCATAATCCGTTACTTAATTGCTTAGCATGCAACAAGTCGCATGGCACAAAACTCTTTAGGCATGCGAAATGGGAAGAAAAATAGTTTGCTCTCCCACTTTGGTTTTGCCATCTGTCTTTAATTAAAGATTCCTCAAATCTTGCATCAGAATTTAAGGCGAGAATTACCTATACCCCAGGGAGTAGTCATATATTTTAGGATAGTGGTGCTCAGTTTCCTCTTTGGATCGACAATTCGAGCTTTTTTGACTCAATCAATTGTACAATTACTTTTTCGGGTTCATAAAATTCTGAATTATTTTTTGGGTTTAATAAGAGAAACATTTTAAGAATAGAGAAACTACAACTGCCCTATGCAGGGCGAGAAAATTATTTTTTTGGCCTATTCTTGTGGTAGAAATCCTTTTTTGGATTGATGGTTTGTGCTCCAGCCTGAGCACCCCTATCTTAGATAAATATGGGTAACCCCGTAGGCCTATCGCATGTTTTGTTCTCTAACTTCTGTCTCCGTTTGTATAATTTCTATCTGCTTACTTTACTTCATTCTAGTTTCGTTGTCTACGGATAACTTGGTAAACATGGCCGCCCAAATTGCCTCTGGTATGCAGTATTTAAGTGAAAAAAGATTCGTTCACAGGGATTTAGCGACGAGAAATTGCCTGGTTGGAGAAGAATCTGTAGTCAAAATTGCGGATTTTGGAATGTCACGTGATGTTTATGAATCTGATTATTACAGGGTAAATTTTTTGGAAATTTTCGTCTTTAGTGTTCTTAAACCAAGCAAAATATACCCCACTTATACATGTGTTGTAATATAAAAGATAACTTCTGAAATAAAACCAATGGGCTCACTTGCTTTTTCTAGCATGTGTTGGAATAACATTGCTAAATTGAGATTGTCTGAACAAAAAAACTTCTTGTGCTGGGCTCTTTCTTTGCAAAATACCACGGAGAAATGGTAGCAGCAATTCATCAAAAGGAATGCTTGTTGCTCCATGGCTGCAGCTTTATGGCCCATCTGCCTTGTACATAGAAATATGCATACTTCGAATATCGTTAATTTGGATATAGTCACATGGTCTTACTACCTAGGATAAAAACAACTTTAGGCCTATAATGCTCTTCTACTAAACCCATTTATTTGGTATGGTTGTTCAGAACTATTCCACAGTGATGCACTCTTGTTCTATATGATGTGCAAGCATTTTAAGTTTTTCTAAGTTAGTTGAATGACTTTAAGATTAAGAATGTGGTATTTACATATCTAGGGCAAATAGTGGCGATGTAAAGTCTAAATCTTACTGGGCTTAAGCCGAGCCCAGTACAATGAATAGGAAAAGTTTAAGTATGAAAGGTGCACTACTAAGGCTTAAACCAAAGGCAGAAATTTTCAAACCACAGGATTGAAAATAGATCATTGTTGGAGATCTATAGGTAGAAGAGAACAAAAAGTAGAGTTTCATCTTTGCTCATTTTTCTAAACTGAATTAACATGTGATATAACTTGCCTTCCGGTATGAAAGAATCCGTAGATGAAAAGGAACTGGTTAGCAGGTCAGAAAAAGGAAGGATCTGATAAGATCCTCTAATCACTTTCCGAATTAGTTGTGGCACTTTCGTGTGTGTGATTCTTGTACCCAGTAGAGAAACTTTGCCTATATTTACGTTGAAAATCTGGATTGGATGTTGGACTTTCGTGTTTGTAATTTCTATCTACCCTCAAGTTCCTAATTGTAATAGTCTATTAAGGAAGGGGAGTTTGCATTTTTTTAAAAAATCCTAAATGGGGTGGGGGTCATAATAAATTGAAATGCTTAGATTCTCCGAAATTATGTTTTAGTTGGGGGTGTTTAAATAGGAATTTTGCATGAAATACATAATTAGGGGGGTGTCAATAAATGGAAATAGGTATGCAAAATTTCTGAAAATTGGAGTTTACTATCCCCCCCCCCGCCCCCCGTACAGCTAAGAACTTGATAGTACAGTAGAGAAACCTATCTGCATTTGCGTTAAAAATCTTATATAACGATGTCTCCCTTTGAAGGTTGGTGGTGCTGCCATGCTACCCATTCGCTGGATGCCACCGGAAGCTCTTCTTTATGGAAAATTCACGGTGGAATCCGATGTCTACTCATACGGCATCTTACTATGGGAAATATTCACTTACGCCCTACAACCATTTTATGGTTACTCGAATGATGAAGTCGTCAAGTTTATTAAAAAGGTATATTCAGCGAAAATGTATAGTGTCACAGATATCTGATTTTAATGGTCAAAAGCTACCCTTGATGCTTAAAAATTCATTTTATTCTTTAACTCTCTTTCAATTTTTTGACCGTATAATCTGATAAAGAATAGCAAATTTGCTATTGCCTTAGAGAATATATTTTTTTGATTGTGATGTCGCAAAAAATTCTTTCTAGCATCAATGCAAACGAATCATAACTTCAATTTTAGCCATTCCAAACTACCACATCTCTTTCAGGGTGTTGTCTTACCCAAGCCAGATATCTGTCCAAACGAGATCTACGATAAAGTAATGACAAAATGCTGGTTCAAAGACCCTGAAAAGCGATTGAACTTTGAGGAGATTTTGAAACGGCTTAAAGGCGATTACGAATACGCTCAAGAACATGTCCCTAAGAAGCCAAAGAAAGATCCAGTACCAACGTACTCAGTTCCTCCATCACGAGAACTTCAACCTGAGCCAACCACTGAAGGTGATAAATTGTATTATATTATGTATTTTGATAATTAGTTGCAATTACAGTATGCAAGAAACACTACACGAAATAATTACTATACCCTATTCCTGGGTACCATACCCCGAAAACACAACGCTGTGACTAACTTGTGACAATTACATGTAAAGAAAGGACTACTTGAATCTGACGTCACGCGGATATGTTCGCGTTTGGATGAGTATTGTTGTGGGACTTCCAGTTCAAGGTAGACTTTCGAATAAGCGACTACTAGAACAAAAAGAAATTAAAGTTTTTGAAAGGGATATGGTGGCTATGTGGCTTGCAGTGAAATTTAAGACATTCTGTACAAACCGATCAGGTTTATGAAATAGGAGATAATGAGCATAGTTGAATCGTAGCTGTTTTCTGTTACTTCAATGCTCTTTTTTGTACCTCAAACACAACATACTTAGAGGCTATATTTAATTCGAAAGAGCTCTGGCAAGGCCAGGTGAGGCTATGTGGCTATCCAATTCGCTTCTTTGGTGTAAATAATAGGGAGTTTGCCTTGCTATCTTTGAATTTATTTTCACGGTTTTTTGCTTATTGTGAGAAATGGAAATAGCTTATTGCTTTTACTCATAGTTCACTTTTGTAATACAGTATTACTATTGCATATTTATCGAGCCGCACGTTAAAATAATATTGCGGTGTCAAACGCAGTAATGCAAAGAGATCAACATATACAAAAGCAAAGTAACGGGCGCCAAATCTATTTTAAATAATCATTGAACAGTGAAAAACTGACAATTTTTCAACCAGAAAGATGAATTTGAACAGAGTGGGACAGTCGAGATAAATGAAGTGAAAAATCGTTATCTCTTCTCTGGCCCTTCCTCTTAGGTATATAATCGTTGATTTCTGCTTTCGTTTCAAGTTTAGAGCCTGAACGTTCCAGGAACGCAACAGCTAATACAGACCGATCCCATTATTACGTCACTTGTGTTGCCCACGCAATGCATTCTGGTAATTGTATAGTTATGAGCACCGTTGATAACAACTCCGTTCACTGTGTTCTTTCATTGCATCGTCACGTTATAACAGTATTTATTTCAGAATGATGAACAGGAAAAAAATCATAAAGATTTGATGGAAAGGGATATTTTTTCAAAAATCTTGATTTCTTTGTTCTTGTGTTACATCATTCAGGTGCACCTAAAAGAATCCCGTCGAAAAAAGAGAGCCCGCAGTCATCGCCTCAGTATGTAAATTATCAAGTAGGAAAGGAAAAGCAAGGTATGTGAATAGTTGAAGAAAATCAAACTACAAGCTTAATCTCTACAAGCCTGTGTCGTGAATAACTCACTCTTCAGGAGATGAGGAGATTTATATATCTATATATATTTAGAAGTTTATTTGATAATGTTAACAATAGTGAACTGTGAATACACTGTTAACAGGAATGAAAGAGACTTTTACTTATCTACTCCTTCTCTCTCTCCACAACTCTCCCACACTGTATATTCTATCTTGACCTTTTCTCTACTTTCTCTCCCACATATCTCTCTTATGTTTTTTTTTCTTTTTCCCTTCCTTTTCTTATGTTATTGGTAATGCTAGTATTGTCTGAGACCAACCCTTTAATCAAATATTAACCAAAATCCAAAATGACTTTCAACATCCTTTTTGGCAACCGGTCCTCTCTTGCTTTTTCTTCCATTGTAAGTTGACATTTTGTTTCATTTCGCTATTCACATGTATTTTGATGTCTAAATCAGCAACTTATTGACTGTAAATTATATGGTACGTTGTTTGCACATGATGAGAAAATTTTCAAAATTCAACTGTTAATTTTTAGGTAACACTATAGAACTGAGAGCAAAAAACGGAGCATTTCCAAACCCGTTGTATGGAAAATCAGTTAACGCAGAAGATCTCTACGACAGGCCAAAATCGCACTCTATTAGTTCTGACGATGGAAATGACGATATTGGGAAAACAGTCGCGTTGCCAAATGCAAGGTTATTATAATCTTTACCTATCATTATACATTATACATTTTTGTTTGTGTTCAGTACCTCCAATATTGGCAAGCTATATTTCCATAACCTGCGCCTAACGTAGCTTATACTTCCAAATGAAGGGGGGGGGGGGGTCTTCAAGAGTAAAATTCACCAAGGAAGGCATAGATGGAGAAACATTTCCGTACTATTTCTCCTGCCGATAGGCAATATTGTTGTATTACAAACTAACAGTTTATCGACCAAATCGTAAAGAACTGTTATATCCTCTGCGCCACCTACTAGCAATGCCCTTGTTAGCCCTTCTTGTGGCAACACTCCCAAGGTAAAAAGGGTACACAACTCGCAGTTCAACTCTGCATGTTTCGGGTCAGCTTTCTGACATCAAGATTGCATTTCAGAGTTGCCAACACCTTTAGAAACACTTTTACCGAATTAAAACCGTGTAAAAACTTTGAAGATGTAGTGCAGTGATATGCATAGCTATTTTATTCATTTACTCATTAGTTTTTGCATTTGAACGGTCTTTTCAAGTGTCTTGTTAATTCCACAGGAATACAGTTGTGGCAGATGACTTGTACGATCGTCCAAAATCAAACGCACGAGCTTATCCTGAATTAGAAGAACAATTTGAAGGTGGAACAGTGCCACTGCCTGAAAGATCCTCAAGGGTGAATCTAGTGTAAGATCCATTTCATAATCACAAGCTTCACAGAACGAAAAGTTTTTTCTATGTACAACGGTGGGGTGCAGCAGACAATGATTCAATGTTGCTAGTCTTTGCTACACATTTTATACGGTTATATGCTATAATACAGTAACCTACATAGCAAAGTTGTCTCATCATCGCATTAAGCGTGAAGCTCTGGGCGGCAACTTAGAGCCATCCTGTTCTTCACACCAACAAATGTACACTCTTACCTTAATAGGTTTTGAGGTACCGGGACGTGCAATTATTTAGGGATACTTCTTATTGAAAAGTGCGGAATTATCGGTATCAGTTTTTGAAAATGTGCAGAATTTTAGGTACCATTTAAAGAAGGATGCAAAATTAAGAGCACCATTCCGGAAAATGTATCAAAATTACTAGGAAAGAAATTTAGCATTAACAAATATAATATGAGTTAGAAATGAGATTATAAAATATGTGTAATTTTGAGATTTTTGGGAAAAGGACATGCAAAATTTGTTTGATGATTTTGTTGTGTTTTAAAAATGGTATTTGCCTTGCGAAATTTTAGGTATAGTTTTCATCATGTTTGCGGAATTATGGGACATATTTTTCAGAAATATACGAAATTATGAGTCCAAATTTTGAACCAAAATGTGACACGTCCTCGTCCAAAACTAGACTTAGTTACCCTCAATTAGTTACAAAAATAAATACAAGCAAGAAGCAAGTAAGCACATATGTATACACGTTGCATAAAATCTATTAGCCTTGGTGCAGACTCTGCGTATTGTCAGGGAGCGTAGAGTCAACAGGCAAGGTAAAAACCTATATAAACAATATCGTTATCTATATATTGTATCTGTCTTTCACCAGCCAGGGGATAGTGGAACTTGATTGGTCCAACCAAGGGGGACCTATACTATCTTAGTTTAAAGGGTGATCACCTTTGGGTTATATCCGCCCTATTAAGCCACTTAGCAGTACCGTTCTAAATAATTTCAAAACGTTATGTCTATTGAATATCACGTCTTTATGAAAATCATTAGCGGTTGCATAGTTAATAAATAAACATTAATGAGCGAGTACAACGGGTCTTGAAATGATGAATAATTGGATTATCTTGATTAATGGAATTAATTAAATAGTCGGGCTCCTGGTGGTTACTTCATGAAAAATTTATGCTTGGCACAACTGGTAGCCATGTTTATGATCATGTCTTTGCGTGATGGTCTGTAGAAAAGTTATAGGGAGTACTGTATTTTTATCCACCTTTTTTAATTCTGCTGTAACTTTTTGGCATAAGGTACTCGATAATGCAGAAGTTAAAAGGTGAATCGGCGATTTCAAATACATTGTTGCACAAATTATAGACTCAATTTGAAAAATATTTTCATGGAACAGCTTTTTTCTGGATAAAAGAGTTTCGGGGAACATAAAAAGAAAATATTTTGTGATTCAAGAAACAACACAAGGTGTCCAGATGCTCTTTTAGTAGGGCTTTTTGACGCATTTACTTGTCAATTTTTAGGATCACAATGCGCCATTGGCAACGTGCAAACTATACGAGCCCCTTTGCTATTATTTGGCTATAGTTACCAGCCTTGTTCGTACAGTTGTGCGTCCTTGAAGCGACAATTTTGTATTGAAATTTAATATTGAGAATTATTTTTCAGGAATGAATCAGGATACGCAAATCCAGCAGTAGCTCATGAAGATGAGGATGATAATGGAATTCCAGCAACTGAAGAAGAACTTGAAGTAATTGCAAGAAAAAGATACGTTAGTCCAAATGACGTCAGACGATTGAGCAAAAAGGAATCCAAGTCTTCCATTGTATCGAATTCATCCACATAGAAATCAGCACACCAACATCAAATTCTTCATGAAATACATTTTGGGGTGGCACCTTTTCTCCAAACACCCAACAAAATGACTGATTTATTCTTTTTCAACGAATTGTCAAAATTTCAATCTTTCTCTCACTACCTGATATTAGCCTAATCTAGGCGGTTCATGTGTTCAGTCCCCCGTTCAAATATGCCCTAAGCGATTTCTGTGTATAGAAAAATTATCGTAAGGTTTGTATAGCACAGTTTTTCAAATAACAAGTAATGAATACTATGGTATGTGATTACAGATATTTTGATTCAAAAAAATAATATTGTTTTACTTAAATCATCAGAATTAGAGCTGTTTGAATTTGCGAAAACTAAATTTCTGAAACAAGCCTCCATTACCAAAGAATACAGACTAGCTCAATTAGGAGAGAGGATTTTAACTTTCTTATTGTTGTTTTTGTCCATTTGTATATTTTAGTCTTTTATCTGCACCTTTTGCAAATCACCAAAAATTTTACGGACTTGATGATGTATTTTACGGGGATGTTTTAGTTAAACTTGTATAATCAACCTTTTTATTGATAAAAGCAAGGCCGATTGTACAGTGAAAATCACAGTTGTTACTTGCAGAAGGTTTATTAAGCCAGTTTTGATAATGGAGAACCTCCGAGCTATTTGGGTGCAGTTTAGATAAAAATTTAGCATTTTACGGATAATTTCTAAATTTTAATTAAAATCACAGTAAACAATTTATATTTAGAAATTTTCATTCTCCATTTGCAATTTGTAGGTACATCGAATAAAAATGTTTTTTTTTTCTAACATTTCTTCAACATTGCACCACAGAGGCAGTTTAATTTTGGTTCATTTTTTTACATTTCATCTCAGATCACATTCCAGACCAGAGGGACAGAGGCGAGTGCCCTCTTACCACAGTCCTAGTTATTTTTTCTAAGCTTTTATCAGTGGTCGATCAACAGAGCAAGAAACTGGTAAAAATTATTTTTCAGGCCTTCTTTAGAAAGAATTGCCTACTATAGAACGTGGCTTTCTAAGACACAATTCTAGAACACAACTTTTGTCAGAGCTGTACTTAAATCTATACTGTCCATAACTGTTGGAAAGTTTAAATGCAACATTAAAGGTCATCAAAATCCCTACAGAATATTTTCCAAATCAACTGAAATTTGTGAATAATCATCTTGATATTAACTTCATTATCTAATAATCTCCTTTTGAAACTAAGCTTAAGTTTTCCACTGTCTAGATATTTATGGAATATACATTGGGTGATAGATAATGGTTTGCAAATTTTGCAATGTTGCCTTTATACAAACGCTAATGTTTAAAGGAACAAGTTACACATACTCATTACCCACACGAATATCAGGATTTAATCCACAAATTAGCCTCCTGGTTTGGATGGTTGCTCATTTAAGGGAGGTGACATAAATGAGGGTGAATGAAGGGCCTAAATCCTTTTCTGCATAAAAATGCTAATACTAAAACAATCTCACTTGTTTTAATTCATAATGAAAAATGAAACATGTTGCCCATAAATGAAGATGTTTAAAGTCATAGTGACAACAACAAAATTGTGAAAAGCTTTGTTATTTCTATGTTGTCATTTTCCATTGAATATGGAATTTGTCATAGACTAAAGTTATGAATTGTAGAAACTGGCATGTCAGGGAGGATGCTTAGTAAAAAGTGGTAGCTTACCAATAATTTTTATTTCCAAGGTGGGGGCTAATTTGAGGATGGCCAGCAATTCAGGGGCTTATCAGAGTCGGGTTCAAGAACCCATTTCAGGGTTAAAGAAGCTACAAAACAAATCAACAATAATATCATGTCAGTGATTGCAGGAAACTTCAGTAGTGAAAAGTCTTCTGATGATTGAATGATATACATATGGTACAAAGAAATCAATCATGTTTTAAAATTTTTTGTTTTGGTTCACAGTCATAAGTTTCTTTAACATCAGGTCCCTGTATCTTCAGTGCTCTCAATAAATATCCACTTCTGGCACTCATTGTAATGCCTGGGTGTGTTCTATTTGGTAGCACCTGTAACTCTCGCAACCATGTTTCTGTTAGATTTACATTGATGGCTAGCGAAGCATCTCTCAAGTAGCGATAGCACTCCATCAGTGGCTCCTTGTATTGGCAATAGACAACAATGGGAGAAGATGGTTTTATAAACTCCATCAGCTCAAGAAGAATTGCCAATGGATGAAACTTTGTTGCAACGATAAGTGCATCTAAATTTTTGCTTTTCAGATACTCTTTTGCACGAATCTCTTCTTCGATTCTCTTTTCCTTGGTAAACCGCTTATTACAAGGTATACTTTCATCATCTTGTGTCAACAATGTATCGCATTGATCTGCCATATCACTATCTTTATCAACTGAATCTTCTGCTAAAGAAGGATTTATTGTTTCATTGCCAAGTTTCTGATTACACTCCTTAAGTTCATTTGACAAGCTATTATCGCTGTTTGAACTTATGTTGTTGCTGTTTCCTTTCTCTTCATTTGATTCTGCTGCACTGAACTCATGTTGCTTATTTTCACTCTGGGCAAAGCATTTGCCATCAAGCTCATCTTTTATTTCCTCAATACTCTCAAAAGAAAATCCACATATTTGCTTGTTCTTTCTCTCTTCTTTGAAGCTAAACTGGTCTAGAATTATCCTCACAGGACAGTTTCCATTGTAGGCTTGCACAATCTGACCATCTTCTCCAATACGCTCTAGAATTGACCCTATGACCATGCCTTGACAAGTTTCAGAAACTAGAACATTGGACCCAAAATGTATGTTTGCCCAAGCTAAAATTTGTGCCAGTGTGTCAGGTCTGATTTCTAGGATCTTTGAAGCTGCTTTTGTGAAATACAACTGAGACAACAGTCGAGCTGTGGGTTTGTAAGTTATGAAGTATGCCAAGTGCCTGCAATTATAAAACATGCTTAGCAAAACACTTTATGCAGTGTACAAAATGGTCTTTAACATATGTTATGGATGTTTCGAGTATTTTGTTTCTAGAGTGGCTTATCATATATGTATAATGTTAACTTGATAAAGCAAGAAAGCTTTCTTTTCCAATCAAGAATAAAATTATTTTCAGGAAACAACAACAATTCACAATTGATCCTAAATTGAATACGCAATCTAATATACAACTTTAGCAACCTTTTCTATAACTGACCACATCCTTATGAGTATCAGCTGTTAAAATTATTTTAAATCAATGTCAATTCTTTGAGCCAAAACTCACTAAGCACCATACCTAAACATCCTTTCAAAATTATCTAAAAAGAAACTGACAAAATCACCCTATTTGCTTTTTGAAGAAAGAATTATCTATGGGTACGAAATATTTTTTGAAGGGATATTACCATGTACCATAAGAATAATAGTTCCATAGGTTTACAGTCTGTTGCATTTATCACCAAGATTTCAGATATTGTTTGGTCCTTTTATTTTTAATAAAATCAGGGCACAAAGGCATCAATTTCTCCTTCAGTATAATACCCAAGTGTGCTAATTTCTACTTTCTTTCTATACAATTAAGTTAGGATTCGGAAATTCACTCAGTTTTCTAAAATCGCATGTCCTTTCTTGAATAGTAAAATATTGGTATTTGATGAATAATAACGTTCTTTGCTCAGGGGTTGCTCTCTCCTCAATTAGTCTTTCTATTGAGAGAGCTCCTCCTCGAATAAATTCCTCCCCCTACAAAAGTCCCCACATTTCAGTAGTATGTATAATTTGTGTTGTATTTAATTACTATTGTATTTGCTGTTGTTAGTTGTATTGTTGTAAGACCTTTGTATGTAGTGGAATTTTAAATATGAAAACTTGAACTTGAACTTGAATGTCAACGATAACAACAGGGACAGAGCAGCAGCACTGTGGTACATATATACAAAAAAGAATGAAAAATAGGAAACTGAATCAAAACCAAAAATTAATGAACTCGCTTTTTTTTCTTTTTCTTTAAATATTTGGCTTGTGAATATGAGGTTTTATCTTTGAAAGTTGAACTGCTTTCTACAATCTTCTCTATAATTTCTTGGCTGTCGGTTCCACCCTCCTTAAGTTTCATTATGTCATCCTTGCTAAGCTTCTGTGAGTCCGAATTATCCAGAATTTCTCTGTTATCACGAGTTTGCTCATCTTTATCAAAGTCTGCTTCGTCGTTTTCAAAATTGAGCGGATTTGTTTCAAAAAGTTGGTTGCGTTGGACCTCAAATGTTGAGCCGTACGGTTTGCCAATCATGCTATCAAGATAGAAGCTAAAGTTTCCCATGCGCTCTTTTTTTCCAGGCCGTGCTTTGACATACTTCAAAGACGCACCTTTCCTTAGAACGACTCCGTCGTTTAAGGAAATCAAATGTCCTTCTTCAAGTTCAAGCATGTTGTCCTCCATCTTGAAAACCTCAGTTCCATCCAATCCAGGTTGAATCAACACAAGGAAGCAATGCAGTCACATATACTCCTCCGCAGCGATGACCAGGGTTCCGTGGTGCACCCATTGATTCATATACTCAAAGACCAAGGATTAATATTTGCCACTTTTTTATTTTAAATTTTTTTGCGTGAGACTCAGGCTGGTTGGTTGAAAACACAAGCCACAATTTTACCTCCTAACTAGACCCCGAAGAAAACGACATAAGAGTTTGTGTAAGAAGGAAGAACCGCAGGATAGGCTGTCCGCCGGATTCTGTGAATCTTGCAATGAGTGTTGTTATGAAAGATATACAGGAACAAAGCAATACGACAACGAGAATCCAATGTCACGAGATAAAATAAGATAGTTTTCCAGCAAAAATCTAGCTTTTCATGTTTTATGATTTGCTATCTACATTTAATCATAAAATACCAATTTTCAAAATTCATACCTTGAAGTTTTGTGCTAAAATTCGCTTTAAGCCAATATTGGAACAAGCATACCAGTTTTTCGCTGATGTATTGGTGACTTTAAACCAATATTACAGCAAGCACACCAGTTTGTTAATGTCTTGGCAAGGTAAACAATTTGCTACGATTCAAAGGAGACTCTTATTTTCTTCCTCAAATGATTTCCCAACTGTTTCTGTGCACAAATGTTGACCCTTCATCGTGCTTTATCAAAGAAGACTCCCAACGGTAGACTTTTGTAAAGCTTTCTTTGTCTCATGATGGACATTCAATTCCCAAACCCCCCAAAATCAGAATCTTCATGATAAGTGCTTCTTGCGATAGAAAAATGCTACGGAAAACTCATTTGAAAGGTGACCATAGTATATCGGTTAAGGGTAGACGACGGTACTACTCGTTGTAAACATTTTCAAAATCAGCCTATAAAACTGCAAAATTTAATATAAAACGGGAAAGTGGGAAAGTCCAAAACTTCTCAGAGTATTGAAAAACGTACTTTGACCAAAAGGTTTGCGAACACTGACTACCAGACGCACATCAGAAGGACGAATAATCTGACGAATGGCTTTTATGGCTAGTCCTTTGGTTTTAACGAGCCATACAGGGCTAAACACTCACATGGGGAACCCAAGAAATGGAAATATTTTTGCCTACTCCTAGCAGGACAGCCCCCACTTTTTGCAAAAACGTAAAGAATTAAGGAATAGACCACAATTCAAGTCACTTTTTATTCGGTTTCAGCCCTCCCCTGACATTTTTCAACACTCTGCAGTGCCTGACTCTTACGATGCCAAGCCATCATGCTTCGTCAGTGTAGGCGTAGAATTTACAGAAAAGGAGAAATTTTCAGTCTCTATCTTTCAACATCTGATTCAACTACCTTCTTTGTTGTTGTCCTTATCATTTTTGTACTTGTTTTATACCAGTTTTCCAAATATGAAATCTCTCTTGGGCCGATCCGCAACAATACAGGGCATATGGATCCCAAGAGTTTGCTGTGAGAGTCAGCGTTTTGAAGAACTATAAGCGTTTTACCATTGATTGACTATAAAAGGGAGGGGGCATCATCAAAGCGGAAATTTCCCCCCTTTAACATCATCAAATGGGAAACCTTTCCGTTTTGTCACATAATTGTGTTATTTTAGAACTGCTTTCATCTCCAGACGGCTGGAAAATCGATTCAAAAATTTCTTCAGATAAAAAAGGACTTTCGTGTGTTACTCAAATATGCATTGTCTATGCAAAAACGTCAGGGAACTGGGCAGGAGCGCACAGTCTTGTAAACTTTCGTATCACGAATTTCCGATAAAAAACTTTCATTAACCGGACTTGGATGTGGCGCCACTGTTTGTAAGGATTTGATTCAAGTTTACCCTTCTGTAAATCTACTGCCGAGTGCCTCTGACTTCAATACTGCTTCTTCTGTTCGTGATGCAACGTCTTCTCATTTCTAATCAATGAAGTTGTGCGTGTTGTACGCCTGCCTTTTCCTTGGATACCAAGAAGAATTCATTACCCAAACTTATGATGGCTCCCTACCTTGTCTTCTAATGCGCTACATAGACGATGTTGTTGGTGCCACTTCACTCCCTATCAATCAGTTACAGGACTTTATCAATTTTGTTGACAACTTTAATCCTGCTCTGTATTTCACTTACACAACAACAGAAGAAACTCTGGCATTTCTTGACATTCAACTCCAGCTCTGGCGACCATATCACCACCTCTGTTCATTACAAAGAAACTGATTCTCACTGCTACTTCGATTACATCTCATCACACCCAAGCAAATGCAAAGATTCAATTCTATATTCCCAATTTCTCCGCCTTCGCCGTCTCCGTTCGCAACAAGAAGATTTCAATACCAAGGCTCAGGAAATGTCTAGTTTCTTTAGCAACAACAATTACCCAAAAACAGTTACCTCGTCTGCCTACGAACAAGTATCGTAAATGACACAAGAAACTGCTTTGGATCCCGCCAATCAAACAATCACCCTTACTTTCCAAACAGTCAACAAGCAGATCAAACAAATTGCATACAGTAATTTCCACCTGCTAACTGATGACCATGAAGATTTGGATATTTTAAACATCCACCCCTTATGGCTTACCAACGGGACAATAATACTTGCCACAATCTCAATTCATTTCAACAAAGATGGCCATACACCAGCCAACATGAAAGTCACTGGACTTTGCTACGCACCTCATAACAACAATCAACGCAAAACCCTTGAAAAACGTATTATTTTCAAACTTTGTACTCTTATTCCTAATGGTCTTAGTAAACAATTTTCGTTTCTTTCCAAATCCAACTAATATTTATCTTATCTATACGCTTTTCACCCCCTCACATGTTTCCACCTCGTCTTACGTTCTACGTCGTATTCCTGCTACGTTCCATATAGTTAATTTTTCGATTCTACTGTTCTATTCTCTTCTTAACCGTTTCTTCTTCTATTCTTTTTTACCTGATGAAGAGTTATGCTCGAAACATCGTGCCAAATATTCATTTCTTATACAAAGTCGTTATTCTATTGCATTCAATTTTCTTCTCATTGCTACCTATGGAGTTACTGCACGAACTCAGTCTCAAACTCAACTGCCCACAAAGAGATTCTATCCTTGATGTGGCAGCCTCGTTGTTCCTGTACCAGAGACATCATATCATGCCAAATTTTGACGAGAAAACCAATCTCTAGCACAACATCAACTTTCATATTCAAAATCCGGAGTTATTTATAGTCCACTGCCTCTATAATACGACTGTTTCTAAGACATCAATAGATTTGTCATATAATTATCAATCGAACGTAAAGTTAATTTATAATTAGATACTGTTACAGTTAAGTTAAAAACATTACTAAGAACGTCATATTAGTAACGAACTAAAAAACTTAACAGATAACCAAAAGCATTAACGTAAGTTGTTGAAGAAAATAGAACAAACCAAGCGAATCGATGACTGGGGGTGGCATTCCAAAGATCTGGAGTCAATAAATGTGACAGGAGCATCGGCTCATCTTTTGGGACAAAAGCAAAAATTATCTTATTTTTGGGTCAGGTTTTGACCAACCGACTTTTAGTTAGTAGATACGTTTCTTGGCTCATAAAATTGTCAGCTACTTAAGGAACTAATTTGGAGATGATCATTTTCCAATACTTTACTTTTGTGTGCTACGGAAGACGACTTGTTTTCAACTCAATTCTTTTATATTAATATTTGAGAATAGCTCACGGGGACAATATTGTCAATATCATCTACAGCGTTCTCTCGCGCAAGATTTACTTATTTTAGGTGAACGGATTTGTGTCTTTTCATTGGAATTCTGGAAATAGCTAATATCATTTTAATCTCCTGTGCAGGCTTGCGAACTGATGTGTCGTGAGATTACAGTTTAAGTATGATATTTAAGCTGCTACAATACCCGGTATAATTACACACGATTGGGCAAATATTGGGATGTACTTCTTTTTGCACTACTGTGTTAAAAAACGTGGTTGCCATTGTTAACACTTGCACCCCTAGACAGAAATGTTTTTAACGTTTGCGAATTGAATCGTATAGCATAAGACATGACCACCAGGCTCCCACTGCTCTTTGATAATTAACTCTTGCAATTTCCATCCATAAACGTAATTGAATGGGCCATCGATGCAAGGGGGAAAAAGAGAGAAGGTAAGATTATGTTACCTGAGCTTTTCTCAGAAAGCATTAAATGGCAATTGATCACTGTCACTGGGTGCAAGCAAAGACCGAGATACAACTTTTGCTTTTGGGGGGGGGGCAGCCATGATAAATAAGGGTAGCAACATCCATATTTTACTTATAAAAGTAATTTACTTATGCTGTTTAAGTTGTTGGGGGAGCCAAGCCCCCAGCCTCCCCCTCGGCATCTCGGCCCTTGGGTGCCAGTACATCAAAGCATCTATCCTGGTTATGTCACCCAACCTCAGCGGGTGTGCAATTTCACATACTGCCAAAAATTTTTTAAACTGTTCATTTCAATATTCTTTACTGCATTACAATCCTTCGCATGAGATCTCCAAGATTTACCAGAGATTTAAAATCTCATCAACAAAGTCCTATTTTCTATCCACAACAATTACAGACAACTAGATTTGTAAATACATTGCAGATTTTTTAACACTAATATTGTCTCTACTAAGGTGAACGTGCAGGGATGTGACAAGGCGTGGTTAGAATGATAATTTGCTGATGCTCCAGCCCTGCAGCATCAAAATAAATATAAAGCTTTCCATGTTGTGCAGCAAATTTTACAGTATAATGTCTTTGTGCATGTATTTTAGATGCTTTGTTCGAAGTTTGAAAAAGATAGTCCTAACACTTGCATAACTATCACCTGATTGTCCGCAATCCACACAGCCAATATCCATTAGGTTCAAAATAATTGCCAGCCAGTTTTCGTATCTGAAAAGTGTTTCCCTCGATTGTGAAACAGTTTTTTTGTGGTAGAGGATGGCATTCTAAGATTGAAAGTCTAATCTCCTTTTCT